GCAGAGACCAGGAGAATCATAGTTCAAGGCCAGCCTGGACAAAATGTTCACAAGACCTTATCTCCACCAATAAAGGCTGGGCATGGTGGTACATGCCTGTTATTCCAGTTACAAGGGAAGTATAAAATAGGAGGATCATGGTCCAGGCTAGCTTGGGCTAACTCAAGACTTTACCCCCAAAACAACTAAAGCTAAAAGGGCTGGGGACATAGCTCAAGGCCCTGAGTTCGAACCTCAGTACTGCCAAAAAGAATACAGAAAATTGTTTAGTAGTATTCTTTAAAGCTGTACTTTAATATAGTTATGCATATGCTATTTTGCAATTCCACTTCTACCTATAAACTCAACAGAAGTATAAACATCTATACATGAAAATACATGTATTAGAATGTTTATAGCAACAAAATTACTAATAGTCTAAACCAGAAACAATCTAAATGTCTATTAACAGTAAAATACATAGGGAAAAAAACCTATGGAATATGCATGAAATACTGTACAATAATGAAAATAAAAAATTACCTGCAGCAATATGAACCTCTCAAAGATGGTCAATTAAATTGTGCCTGATGACTTGCTTACTTTTTTGTTTGCAATACTTCAATAAAATCTCCCAAACCAACTAGGCACCAGTGGCTCACTCCTGTAATCCTAGCTACTCAGAAGGCAGAAATCAGGAGGATTACAGTTTGAAGCTAGCTCTGGGCAAACAGACCTTATTTCGAAAAAACCTATCACAAAAAAGGGCTGGTGGGGAGTGGCTCAGGTGGTAGACTGCCTGCCTAGCAAGCATGAGGCCCTGAGTTCAAACATCAGCACTACCAAAAAAAAGAAAAAAAGAAATCCTCCCAAAGCAGCCAGGCACAGGGGCACATGGGTGCAATCCAGCACTCTACCTGGAGATTGGAGGCAAGAGTATCATGAATTCAAGGAAACCCTGAATTCATGGCAACATAATGAGACCCTCCCTCAAAACCAAAAGCTCAGGGCTTGGGGTGGGCCTCAAATGGAAGAGCACCTGCTTAGCAAGTGCGAGGCCTTGTGTTCAAGCCCCAGTACTGCAAAACACAAAAGACTCAAACCAGATAGTCTTCAAAAATATAAAACAGTAAAAAAGATATTAACCACATGAAATGTTTGGTTCTTATTGGGACAATCAGAAAAGTAGGTATATGGAGCAGATAATTGATATTAAATTATGTTAAATTTGTAGGTATGTTAGAGGTTGTGGCTTTTTTTTTAGAGAGTCCTTTGAGATATATCCTGAAATATTAAGAGATGAAATAATAGAATGTGTGATATTCATTTCAGAATAATCAGTGGAGGAAGAGAGGATAGGAGAAAATATGGACAAAACAACGTTGGCCAGGAACAATCATTATAAAAGCTGGAAAATGGATACTGTTCTCTCTGCTGTTGTATATGTTTGAATTTTCTATAACAAAAAGTTTGAAATGCATATTAGTTTTAAGTCTAAAGTAATATTTTAGTATATGTGCTACAAAAGGGAGCAAAAGTCTACAGTAATAAAATACCTAAAAGCAACATGAATTCTTAAAATGATTATAGACAAGTCATTTTTTGGAACACAGGGCCTTGCACATGCTATGCAAGCATAAGCTTGCCTATCAGTAAGCTGTATCCCAGTCAATGATTTATTAATTATAAATTAAGAGTTTTCCTAAATGATGCATACTTGCTTAAAGTTTCTATCGATACTACTTGAAATATTAATATAGAAATCAGTAATTCATATTTTCCACAGTTAAGACTACTTTTTTTTCGGTACTGCAGTTTGAGCCCTTTTTTGTGACAGGTTTTTTCGAGATAGGGTCTCATGAATTATTTTTCCTAGGCTGCTTTGGACCACAATCTTTCTGATTTCTACCTCCTGAGTAGCTAGGATTAAAAGTGTGAGCCACCGGTGCCTGGCAAGACTACTTTTTTTGAGACAGTTTCTTACCTATGTAGCACAGGCTGGCCCTGAACTTGTGATACTTTTGTCTCAGCCTCTTGAATACTCGGATTATAGGCATGAACCACCACACCTGGCTCTTTTTTTCTATTTGCTTATTCTGTTTTGTTTTTTTCACACTTGGCTCTATTTTTTAAGAATTGCAAGATTTTAGCCGGATGCCTGTAATACCACCTACTCAAGTGGTGGAGATCAGGAGGATGTCGGTTCGAACCCAGCCTGGGCAAATAGTTTGCAAGACCCTATTTCAAAAATACCTATCACAAAAAGGGCTAATGGGGTGGCTCAAAGTGTAGGCCCTGAATTCAAGCCCTGGTACCACACACAGACAAAAAAATTGCAAGATTTTATTTCTTTAAAAGTCTCTAAAGCAACACTGAGAATCACACTTGGCTCTTTTTTTTTGCAGTACCAGGGCTTGAACTCAGGGCCTATACCTTGAGCCACTCCACCAGACCTTTTCGTGTTAGGTATTTTCGAAATAGGGTCTTGTGAACTATTTGCCCAGGCTGGCTTTGAACCATGATCCTCTTGATCTCTGCCTCCTGAGTAGCTAGGATTACAGGCATGAGTCACCTGCTCCCGGCTCACACTTGGCTCTTAATACCACTCTTTCGGGGGTTTTTTGGTGGGACTGAGGTTTGAACTCAGGACTTCAAGCTTGCAAAGCAGATACTATGCACATACCTCCAGTCCATTTTGCTCTGGTTATTTTGGAGATAGGGTCTCATGAACCATTTGTCTGGGCTGGCCTTGAACCACAATGCTCCTGATCTCAGCCTCCCAAGTAGCTAGGATTATAGGTATTAAACACTGCACTCAGCTTAAGACCACTCTTATCTGTCCAACAAATATTATGGGTATAGGCCTTGTTTTCAATGTTGAGCATACACCAGAGAAAAGAGCAATCAGGTTTCTAGTCTTACAGATTTAAACTGAGAAAAACAAGTAAACTAACACATAGTTTCATAATGTGATTAAAATAATATTAAGGTAACTAGGGTGGGGTTTCCGTTGTCCAGCTTCACCCAAGTTTCAGTTCTGGGACTTTCCATCCTTCTGCTCCTCAGGGTGGAAGGAGACCAGGCTCTCCTTAGCATGTTTCCATCTGGAAGGAAGTATATGCCACAGTCTATTTAGGTGAGAACTCAACAATGTTTCAGAGCACTGGACAGGCAGCTGTCAATGGAGAGCTGGCTTTTGTGGCCCTTCTCATGGACTGACTCTAACATCAGGGCCCTTTTCCAGAGCCTCTTCTCTTCCCCTTTTTTCTCTTCTCAGCTTCTGACCTCCATATACTTCTTCCCTTTATATTCCTTTCTTTCCATCCAAAGTCCCAGCCAGAAGTTTCTCACCGAATGGTTAAAAGTTGGGGAGAGGAGGTCATCTGCTTCTCCTTCTTCACTGTCCTGTTTGGGGCTCCTCTCCTGCTGTTCCCTTAAGAGCCTACTTTGAAAGTTACAAACACAGAATGCTGTTTGTTCTGTTTACAGTCCCGTAAGGACCTAATTCCCTTCTGGTCTCTAGGAAAAGATACTGAAGTTTGGCAAAGAATTAAAAGCATGAGAGTAAAATTTCAACATCTTCTTTTGCTGTGCTGAGAAAGAGTAAAAGGAGAGAGTGGCTGGGGAGTTGTCTCTGAAGAAGTCACATTTCCATTGTGGTCTGAAAGGTAAAAAGGTGATCATGAGAACAGTGGGGAAAACATTCATGGGAAATAGCAATCACAAGGGCTTGGGATAGGATACAGTCTGGCATGTTCCAGGGACTCACAGGAGGCAGGGAACTGAACTAGCTAGAATCCTTTGTCTTTCTTTCCCAGTTAACCTTTGCTGTTGAGATTCTATTAGAAAATTAAAAACAGTGACCAAAATCTGGATTTGGGGAAACTCTACATTTAAGCATCTTTACACTGTTCTTGTAAGTTTATGAAGTTTGTGAACTGTGCTTTTTCCTTAGTTTATAAGTACATGCAGACGGACTTGCTGTTGTTCTCTTCAGTATTCATACTCCCAGATACACAGTAACAGAACCTAACACAATTCTAGCCACTCATGGCTAAAGTCAAGTATGTTATCTTCAGCTAGTCACTAAGGAACTGCATAGGTCCTGCGCAAAAACCTTAAAGGATCATACAAATAGAAATGATGTTTATGAAGAATTTTTAAGGTCTTGGAAGAACGCTTAAGTTAATTCAGGATGCAAAACTATATAGTCAATTCTGATCTCACTTATTTTAAATATACATATAGACAGTTGGAAGAAATATATCAAAATATTGAATAGTGGTAATTGCTGGGAAGTGGAAATCGAGTATTTATACATAGGCATTCCAGAAAGAAAAGAAAAAATGAGTGAAATGTTCAATGAATAATTCAAAACCATTTCCCAGAATTGACAGAAATGAGGTACAGGCTGAAAGGATTCTCTAAATGCTTAGTACAATGTATGGAAGTAGATGCACACAAAGCATTTAATTAAAACTTCTAGTCCAGTCACTAAAGTTAAATGCTCAACTATGAATAGACATAACAGCCTAAATGCAGATTATCAATTTAATAAAAAAATTATAATTTGGGGTATATGACACAGAGAAAGTGGAGAGGATGGTAAACATTGGAACGAAATCTTCATCTACCATGTGAACAAATAAAGCTAACATTCATCAACCAAAGATAATAGCATTATACAAATTTCTTACAAAAACAGGAATGTATTACCACCCTGGAAAAAAATTTGGAGGCTACTTAAAAAGCTAAACATTGATCTACTATTTGATGCAGCAATACGACTCTTGGGGATATACCCAAAAGACTGTTACTCCAGAGGCACCTGCACATCCATGTTTATTGCAGCACTATTCACAATAGCCAAGTTATGGAAAC